GCTATCAAAGTATTGAAATCCATCAGTCAAAAGCCCCTTTGGGCTCACCTAATTAGCATGCCCAATTAAACACCTCATCCTAACACTGGGCTTCCCATTTTCCCTTTATAAACTGCCATTGACAATGGGCCATGCCTGTCTTCTCTCTGTCCTTTTTCCCACTCTGGGACAAATATCTCTCCCCACTCTCCCTTGTCCTCTATCTCCTGTCTTTGTCTCTTATTCCCTGTCCCTTGTCCTTCTGGAACAAATGCTCTCCTTTGTGCTGAGACCTTGGTCCTGGAGCGTCCTGAGCTAGTACCAGTCCTTACAGTATCAAGTAGCCCAGGCTAGCCTTGAACTCACTATGTATAACAGAAGATAGCCTTGAACTACTGATCCTCCTTGCTCCACCTGCCGAGTGCTGGAATTGCAGGGGTGTACCACTACATCCAGCTGTTAATATTATTTAAACAAATTGTTTTCTTTACTTAAATCATTATTCTACACATCTCAAACACATAAACCCAAATGTAGATTTATAGAATGCATTGCATCGTAATGTCCGAATAGTAAAGGTATTTTCATTTCATTTCCTTTTTCCCCCTGGGATTGTTTTCAGGTTAGCATGTCATGTCTTTTATCAAAGTCACACTGAAACATAAAACACACTGCATTGTTGATTCTACAATTTGAGCTTATATGAGTGAGTACCCATGAATAAACAGCATATGTACGTGGATCTGCTTCACAAATATTGAATTCCAAAACATTAAGTTTCTGCAATTTAGGTAATTCTTGCTAATAAGTACAGAGATGGGTAGGACACATTAAAGAGCCAACGCGAACTGCTTCATACCTTCGGGAAATTTTGAATGGTGCAGGAGATTTCCACCTGTAGCGTAGGGAGTCCCATTCCATCCAGGATGATTTTCCCCACTATTTTGCATATGGAGGGAGGCTTTGCAAGTTTAGAAAAGTAGTTTGCCTTCAATACACACATAAAATCAAAAATCAGAAAACTGCATTGAATTTGTCTTACACAGCCAGGCACATTGACTCTATCCTACAAAACTTCTCTCTCTATGTGTGCCCTTCCCGGATCTGGATTAGCCCTACACCTCTGCTGGAACAGCTCATGCTGAGTCTCCAGCACATGTGTTATATTCTCACCTCTCATCGGGAAGGCAGAGACCCATCTTAACCCACAGGCCTTGTGTCCCTCTTTAGCAGGCCTTTCTATGGCAAGTCAACTAACCCCCTGATACTTCTTCCCACATTAGGGAAGTTGTTGGTCTCTAGAGTGCTGCGATGCATTCAGATTTAAGAAATCTGAAGGGGAATGATTTTATCCCCCCCCACGCACCCCCACAACCAAGCAGGCATCTGGCTTTTTAACAGCAAAAGACAACTACAGTCTCACCTACCGTCAGCTGGTGTACAATGCTACCTCACTAAAAGAGGCCTCTTGGGAATCTTAGTAATTGCAATTTGTCTTAAGTGGCAGAGCATTTGGAAGGGATCCAAGACTGATGTACCAGGGTTCAGCTCCCTGTGGGCAGTACCATCCCTGGGCAGGTTGACCCGGTTGGTATAAGAAAGCAGGCTGAGCAAGCCATGGGTAGCAAACCAGTAAGCTGCATTTCTCCATGGCTGCTGCTTCAATTCCTGCTCAGACTTCGTTCAGTGATGGACTGTGACATGGAAATGTGAGCCAAATAAACCCTCTCCTCCCTACATTGCTTTTGGTCAGAATGTTGTAGAAAAGCAATAGAAAGCAAACTAGGGCGGTCCCTAACCAAGGTATGGGAGATTCCAGAGAGCTGTATAAACCGGTGTCCAGCTGGTAGCAGACTGGGGGTGGTGGTGGGGGGAGCCTTACACGTGGAGACAAAAGTGCAAGTTTCTAGCCTTGCACACTAAATACCTGTGGGACAGGGTTTGGGGTCCTTTTAAATTGGGACTAGACAACGTTAACAGTTAGTTCCTTTAGCAAGAGACCTCAGAGACTGAAATCCTTATCAAGCCTTCACTCACCCACTTCACAAATGATGGACCACTGTCACTCAGTGTCCCCTGGGGGGGGGGGTCACTTTAATACCTGAGGCACAAGTTGTTGTTGTTGTTTTAGAAAGGGGGAATCGGTTTTTATTGTCTTGTTTTAACCTTGCAGAGAGTTCCTAGAGACTGAGAGAACCAAGAGTGGTACCCTAACTGCCTTCCCCCAAGCCAGTCTCTTATGCACAGGGCTCTCCTCTCAGCAATAGCTCATCAGCCAACTCAAAGGATTACAGTAGAAGGACGCGCCCTAGGACAGCTCAAGTACACTAAATCCAGAGCCAAGTGGAAAAGGGGCCTCCGATGAAATCTGCAGTTTAGGTATTCAGTGGCCCGTGAAGTTGGGTACCTAGCCAAAGTAAGGTGTATGAGGCATGCAAACCCTGGGGCACAGGCTTGGGATCTGAGAAATTCGGTGGCAGTGGAAGTCACAGCCCAGTCCCGGTCGCTGACAGCAGCCGAGGTGAGTTTGGCGTCAGGTCTGTGTTTTAGAAAACCAAAGGCGGGCTGGCGGGCTCCTTGGATCGGAAAGAAGCTCGCAGGCTCCGGGCAGTCTTCCCAGCTACAGGGCCGCCCAGTGTCTTCTCGACTCTCGCTTCGGCCTTCGCGCCTCAACTTTCGGTCCCTGCGGGCAGCCAGTCCCAGTTTCCCCGACCACAGCCTCCCTGCTGTCACCAAGCAGCGCCCGAGTCCCCCGGCCCCAGCAGCGCGCAGGCGCGACTCCACGGCGCAAGCGCAGCGCGCTGCCGCAGCGTGAGCCGGCGGGGGAGGGGGCCGGGGAGGGGGAGGGAGCTCGCCGCAGGTCCCTACCAGGTGCCCGTAGACGTCTGCGGGCTGGAGGTAGAAGGTGGAGTTGAGCAGCTCCTCCAGCCTGCGCGGGACGTCGTTCTCCTGGTAGTACGCCATCGCCTGCTGCTTCAGCTTCTGCAGGTCCCTAGTGATCCCACAGCTGCGGCCGCCGCCTTCTTCCCCCATGGTAGGAGACTCAGGGCTTCAGCGGGGTTTCGCCAGGGGGCCCGCCGGCGTCCTTTTGTCGCTAGGCAACGCCACGAGATCCCGACCCCTAGATCTCGCGAGGCTTCCTGCCCTCCGTGGAAAGAACCTTTGCTTTCCGCTCGGGATCTCTGCTTGTCCCATGCGCGCTTCGTCTTTTCCCCGCGCTTCGTTCTCAGTGCTCTCCCGACCTCATTTGTCACTGTTTCTCCGACAGTTTTCCAGATGGGGAAGCGTTTAATGATTGTTTGAGTTCATTTTCAGAAGCTGGGGAGCGGTGCCCGCTACTTCAGCTGTGGACAGGTGCTCCCCGACTGTTCAGTTACGAGGGAGAGGGATGCAAGAGCCCAGGGTGCCCTTCCTGAGCCGTGGAGGTCCTAGAAATGCATCCATTCCAACCCATGCAGTGTGCTTGCTGCATGCCTCGTGATCCTCTCAGAAACAGCTTTGCACACCCTTCCGGGGGAGATTACTGAGGGTGAAATCTCTGCGAGGAAAACTCAAATGTAGGCAGTAAGGATGATGATGTTTTGGAGAGACCCAGGGTGAGGGTGGACGGTGATGCGGAAGCAGCACTTCAGAAGGTCCTTGGGTCATGGTCTCTGCAGGGGGCTCCTGTGAGAGTCGGGTGTCGTACGCAATGATAGAACTTACTGTGTTCTGGATACTTGGGTGGTGCAGGAGTGGGCCAGACAGACAAGGACAGGGTGCTCCTGTTTACCGTTGCCTGTTCTATGTTCCCAACAGAAAGCAGGTTGCTTAAAAGTTCTGTGCCTGCATTGCTCATCTGGAAAACGTAATCTTACCTGCTCTGTCTGCTTGGGATCACTTAAAATAACCCTGAGAGTGAAGAAGCATTTGGGGACAGTTGTTTTCCATAGATGTACTGTTGGATGTAGGTGAATAAAATACATGATTTTGTAAGTACTGTTACATAACCCAGACCAGCACCTCCCCTCCCCTGCCTGGACTCCCCAAGCGGTTTTTTGTTTTGTTCTTCTTCTGTCTCTCTTGTGTCTCTTTGAGAACGAATCCCTTTCTGTGGTGTGATGGATCATCACACACTTGACCCACCCTCCTGGCTGGCTGCAGGTCCTTTGATGGTGGCAGCAGAGGCTGAGTCATCTTCCTGTCCACTGCAGAGCCCGCTGCTGACAGCTGGGTTTTAAGAGGATCCTTACATAAAACGAGCCCACAGTGTTGCTTTCATTCTTCTGTGTGCCCTTCCTCATAGCCACCCACTTCCAGCTGAAGGCACCTCCTTCCCCGTTCTGGTCGGTGTGGGTCCTGTGCTTTACATTCTCGCCCCCAGGAGCCTGTTCTTTTTTTCTGAACTCCTTGCCCACTTGAATCCTGGGCCACAAATCTCATCCCTCATCCCTCAGGGCTGACCCATTTGACTTTCTTTTCATTCTTCCTGTGCTCAGCTTAGTTCTCTGGGCTTACCACCTGGATGCAGCCACTGAACTAACTGCATTTTCAGACCCCATTTAATTTTTTTCTTTTCTTTCTTTCTTTTTAATTGGAGACTTGGTTTTATGAACCCTAGGATGGCCTGAAACTGGCCATGTAGTGGAGGATGACCTTGCACTTCTGGTCTGTCTTCTCCCTCCTCAGTTCTGGGATTGCAGCTGTGAGCCACCATGCCTGGTTAATTTGGAGCTGGGGATGGAACCCCAGGCTTCCCGCATGCCAGGCAAGCACTCCACCAGCTGAGCTATATCCAGAGCCCTCATTTAATGTTTTAATGGAAGTATTTGGGTTGGGACCACTGTGTAATGGGTTCTTGACCCACTGGCCTCTGTGTTCCATGAGATCAGGGTTTGCATGTCTTATTCAATACTGCATCCACAGCATCAGTACACTCTCTAGTAGATTAGATGGTCAGCAAATAGCTATTGGATGAGTGGATAGGTTTTGCACATAAAAACCACCAATAAATATTTAACTGACAAATGTTTTGGAGTTGGGTGAATAATAATTACTGTTTCAGAAACGAAAAACAAGGATAGAAACTTAGCCTGCAGAAAAGTTGTTAGAGGCTTTGAATGCCATTCTGCAAGAGTGGGGCATTTCTAAAAGTATAGGATGGGAAGACAGAAGTGGCCGGCTGCCACGGTGGCAAGAGCGACGCATGCTTGATTCTACAAAAAGCCGTACATCGGGTAGAGAATGATTAGAGGGTTAAACAGTGAAGTTGCCATTGGGAAAAGATAGATGAGAAAGGTGTAGAGGAAGGATGAACTTTCTGAGGTGATAGGATGGAGGCCGGGGAACCAAAGAAGACTTGAGAGTAGTATGAAGTTTTCAGAAGTAGGATATTGGTGGTGGCACAAGGCCTTTAATCTCAGCACTAAAGAGACAAAGGCAGGCAGAACTCTGAGTTCAAGGCCAGCCCGGTCTACAGAGTGGTCCGGGACAGCCAGGGCTACACAGAGAAACCCTATCTCAAAAAACCAAATCAACAAAAACAAGAGTAGCATATATTATGGCCTGGACTTAGAGCGACATGTGCCCTGGGCTCTCCACCTGCTGGCCTTGAGTTTGGGAATCCTGGAGAAAAAGGGAGGTCTGAAGACACAGCTAGATGTCTTCATAGTATAACAACTTGGAGAATGGAGATGTTGGCAGGAGGGAAGTGGGACACAGTCCTCTTGAAATAGGAGCTAAGTGCTGCAGAAGGGACAGATTGAGGACATGGGAGGAGAGCGGGAGCCATAAGAGGAAACAGACAAAATGAACTTAGAGCAACAGTCCCAAAGGCCAGGGGAGAGGCTTGGTGATGTACCAGGTGTGTGTGACTGTGCACACACAGGACAGTCTGAAGGGATATGGTAGTCATGCTGTACTCGGGCAGTGGTTCCCTGGAAGCTTTTCTTTTTATATATTAGTAGTATCTAATTTTCTTCAAATGAATTACCTATATGACTGAAAATTATAGTATGTTGGAGGGAAGGGTATTTAAGTCAAAGCCCAGGGAAGGATTGAGTACTAAGAAGGGGTTATTAGTTACTTAGTTGCTTAGACTCCATCTATTCTAAAATGAAACTGGGTGAAGTCAGAGAAGCATAAGTCCCTGTCTGTCTGCTCTCTCCATTCAGTGGACAAAGATTTCTTGACTGTTCGCCACAGGCCAGGTACTATTCCAGGGCACTGAAGTTCTGATGACATCTCAGCTGTGCTCGCTATCGTGAGTCATCAGTACACTGAAACCAGAGACCTGAAAACTCATCTGGAAACTTCCTATGCTCTACACTTATTAACAGCCTGTCAGTGTGGCCAGCTTCTAGTCAAAAGATTATTTATTAATATTGCAATTCTATTTTCCACAAGTAAACATCGGGAACATTGGGAGTTTGCTAAAGAATATAACCAGATGTATGCAAATGGTGTACAAACTTCACACCTTTGTTATAATATGTTGGTGATTCTTTTTCCATTTCTACTGAGACTAAATGTCTAAGGACTCTTCTACAGCATCAGAACATGAAAGGAGTTGGTGTGAGGTTAACCTTAAAAATACCAAGCTGGAGAGTTGGGGGTGGGAGAGAAGGTACCGAGCAGAAGGAGAGGCTCGGAGATGGTGAAGGTGCCTAGCACACACACACAGACAGGAGGGGACTGTGCCCACCCTTTAGGAAGAGGATGTGGTACTAGAGAGAGCATGCATACACCAGCACTGTGGATGTCACAGGGATCTACATGTAGAGTGGGAGGCGAGAGCAGTTTTGAAATGAGAATATCTATGTTGGGTTCCGAGATTTGCCTCTCAGTACACAGAGGTCTGGATTGATTGTATTTTCTAACCCTTTTGAGTATGAAGACCCCCTTTTCCTTTTTTTTTTTTTTTTGGTTTGTTGAGATGGGGGTTTCTCTGTGTAGCTTTGGCTGTCTTAGAACTCACTATGTAGACCAGACTAGCCTTAAACTCACAGAGATCCCCCTGCCCCTGCCTCTGGAATGCTGGGATTAAAGGTGTACACCACCACTACCCAATTATAGACACCCTTTTAATAACAACAACAATGGAGTACTTGACCACCCCTCAGGTAATAGTAGCTGTAAACACAGCAGTGCTTTCATAGGCCTTTATAATTTACTTGTAGATGATTTGCACACACAAAAGAGACTGTCTGCACAGCTAAGCCTTTACTCTCTTGGGGATGTGCTTGGTGTATGTTTAGAACTGGGAGCCTCTTGCATAGAGTTCATGGGCCTCCTGGAGAACTTGATTGAGAACCAGTGAGGCTGTTTTCCCTCCTCGACCCCTTCTACTCTGTAGTTGTGATTCAAGAGAAAATATTAGAGACGCATCCACTTGTCTCAACCTGCTAGTTGGAGACCCTTCATAGAGGGAACGAAACGCTTTTCATTTTGCATTTCAAAAAGAAATCTCTAGCCCATGTCAGTCATTTCATAAATTGATGAATTTCATCATCAATTCTTTCATTTTTATTTCTCTGTCCTATCCAACACCTCTATTTAGATCGGAACCTATTTGCCACGACTTTAATGTTCAAGAGTGATTTTTTAGATGCAACTTGGGGGCTGCTATCAAGTGCTTGTTAATTCTTTTTTCCTGCATTTGACATCTGTGTTGAAAATCATTTTCACAGGGAACTAATGAACGTGACTGCAGGTGCCTTTAATCACAGACTCCTAGAAACTAGAGACAGAATGCATGGAAAATGGGAGGAGTAACACCTTCCTTTCCTCCCTTGGTTGTCAAAGCTGAGAAGTAGGGTTGCCAAACTAACAGCAAATATAAACACCTGAAAAGGAATGCTAAGTAAGGTAGGAATGATTGACTAATAAAAAAAAGCTTCTCACATTTTATTTTTATTTACCAGTGCCCCCTGGCAGTAGTCATTATCACTATAGTAGTAACAACAAAACTCCCAGCAGCAGCTCCAGACATCAGACCTCTTGAGACTGCAAACCAATGTGGAAATACAGGTGATTGGCCAGAGTTCACACAGTTCCTGCAGAGCAGGAGTGAGACCTGATTCTGGTACCCATTCCTTTCCCATCATGCACCATTCCCATTCCCATAGGTTCTGTTCTGTCATGGTAGCTCTTCAGTCTTCAGCGCCCCCTCCATGGCACAGCCAGATGAATAACTCACATGGAAGTCTTTGAAGACACAGGGTAAATCTTCTGGCTCTCTCCATGACTAGTTCCTGTTTTGACCACCACACTGGAGCCACCTGTAGATTCTACTTGTCTAAGCACCATTAGAATTTAAACACTCTAAAGAGGCATGTTGGAAAATGCTAATTATGCCTTCCCCAGGTCTAAATTTCAATATTCTCCAGGTCTAAATCATACTCATGTATGAAACTCATGCAGAAGTATTTTTAAAATACTCAGTTGCAGCCAGGGTTAAGAAGCACTGCTCTGAGTCAGGCAGGGATGAGAAGGACTGAGGTTTCCTCCAAGAATGATTGAAGGAAGCAGATGCAGTCAAGAAAGCCCAGAAGCTCTGGAATCAGAACTCATGGCCTCAACTGTGACCTTCTACAA